TGATTCTGTGTAAATTCCCTCACTCCTTATGATACCCTTTTCCTTTTGTGATATATCTTGGCCAGTCTAGTGGACAAGTTAACTTGTTAACTAGTTAATGCAACAGAACACATCCACCTCTAATTTCCATTCCCATTTATGGGAATTTATCACAAATGTGAAGGCATGGTACAGGAAACGTCGCAGCGAATGCAATTAGTCCATGAATAGGAAAAAGCATGAAGAAAGAGCTCTGTTTTACCAAAACCTACCTCCTCTGAGACCAGAGCTAGAGAGTGCTCCTGACGCGTTTACCTGAACCCTTGCAGCTGCATCTCAAAAGGTGGGGATGGTTGTTTTGCAGGACACCCAGTACTGAGTCACCTCTGAGGCCATGACCACTGGCTCCTGTGTAACTGAAGCTGGTGCCCACCACCATGGCAAGCTGCTGTGGGATGCAACAGGGACTCGATACCACTGTCTCTAGACCTGAGCCATGGTCTCCACCCCTGGTTACTGTGGCTAGGGCCAGGTAGGAAAGGTCCAGAAGGGGAGTTGAGGTGTTTAAGGTAGCTACTACTATTCGGGAAGGAGGGTGATAGAGGGGCAGCCTCTCCTAGATGTGATATTTGCACCTAAGAGTCACAGAAGAGGCTCTCCTCTTCCAGTTCTTGCCCAATTTCTCCCTCTCCTGCTATGGGAGTGGTTGGCTCTCATTCCTCCTTTGGCAAGACAAACTTGGTTTTCCCTGCTAAGAAGCGTGCCATTTCTGTTTGGCTGTGCTTGCAACCCACAGATTCCTCCAGCCAGTGTTTACCAGCAGAGTTTAGCAACAAAAACAATGCCCAAACCCAAACACATTCCTTCTCTTTTTAAAACAGCTTCAGGCACAGTTAATGCCACAGCTGATGCATCGCAGGCTCCGCACCCTTCACTGGACATTCAGGCCTCTTTGATTTTGGAGTTGTCTGAAGTCTTCTGTGTCCCTCTACAGAAGGGAACTCATCACCATCACATCATTGACATGGGCGTTGCATCCATATTGCACTGCTAATATTCAGGGGACCCATCCATAAGGGAGCTGGGGTTGTTTAGCCTGGAGAAAAGGAGGCTGAGGGGAGACCTTATCGCTCTCTATAACCACCTGAAAGGAGGTGTAGTGAGGTGGGTGTTGGTCTAATCTTCCAAGTAACAAGTGATAGCACAAAACGAAATTACCTCAAGTTGTGCCAGGGGAGGTTTACATTGGATATTAGGAAAAATAACTTCACTGGAAGGGTTGGCAAGCACTGGAACAGGCTGCCCAGGGAAGTTGGTGGAGTCACCATTTCTGGAGGCATTTAAAAGACAGATAGATGTGGCACTTACGGACATGGTTTAGTGGTGGAGTTGGCAGTGCGAGGTTAACAGTTGGACCTGATGCTCTAAAAGGTCTTTTCCAACCTAAATGATTCTATGTGATATAGCAATTAACAGAAGGTTGACATCAACATTTAGCTAGGATTAAGCATTCTTACCCATATAACATTATTTGAATTGTCCCAGAAGCATGAAGTCTAAGGCTTTCTCCATCCTCTGGGCAACAAATAATGTATGAATTGTTCTTCACTAGCTGGACAGATTTATGTCAGGTGTGATAAGGCCATTGCAGATCATTTTCTGTCTCTCCTTTTTCTATGTGTGGTGGAGATTCACTTTTTTGTTAAGTAAGCTTACCTAGAAGTCACCTGAGACAACTGGGATGAGGATGCTCACTGACACTCCTCGGCATTACAACATCTTCTTGGGCCATGTGGCATCAGGCGCACGTGGCCTTAACCCTGTGTTTGCTGTCATTGCTGTCCTGCCTGGCATACTCATTCTTTTAACTCATCAGGATCTTCCACTTTTGTTTATTAACAAATCTTTATGATCCATTAAAATTGCCTCAGAAGTAAATGGTCAATTTCTTAACTAAGAGGAACTTGCCTTGCTTCTGATATTATCTGGGTCACACTATATCTGAGAAGCAGGCTTAGATGTTCATTATATCTACCCCAGATCTATTAGGGAATTTGCAAATAAACGGATCCTTAATTCTTCTGTGATGTTGAATTTTCCCCTCGGTTGTTCCTGACTCTAAATAGGAAGTTTAGAGCGGCAAATGGAGTATTTTTAGATTTCACTTCACTGGCATGCTGTGAAGCAGAATAAACTGTTTTACATTCTTCGCTGGAGATCCCTAGGGTTGTTTGGGGAAGATTCCTCCAGTTAAGCTCCAGCACACAGATGACTACATCTACCACCTCACACAACAGCTCTGTGCACCTTCAGCTGCAATAATAAATCCACTAATCCATCTGTAAACCAAAACTCTGATGGCCTGGCTCTTACCTTACAAAAAGTACAAGAGCTAATGACCTCCTGGCAGACGCAGCTGGTTTCTTCTGTGTTTCTGTACAGAGGCATGGTTTTGTATTAAAGGATCTCATCTATTTGTAACCCACTAACCACTGCACAGAATAAGAATCCAGGTTCTAGGCAACTTTACCATTAAGAAATCACATTCAGACTCATACCACTTTCTCAGACGTCTGAAAATAGAGCATACTTGCCTGCAGGAGGTGGAGATGGGAATTGACTACCAGGAGGCTCAAGTTTCAGCTGTAAAACTCCTGTTTCCAGCAAGACTGTCTCCTTGCATCAAATCTGTGCTGTGACAGCATCCTCCAGCTGCTCTGTTCCAGCTGGTCTGTACCAGCCAGCATTGGGGGAACAAGGAAATGCTGCTTGCAGCAAAGTACCACAAGGCACAGACCTCAGCTCTGCTTTAAAAACACTTCTCGGTGTTGGAATTATCGGTTAAATGGCTGTTATGGTACCCTGAGCACACCCTTGGACTCTTGGTATATTCACTAACTGTAATTCATGAGAAATCACAGCAGAAAAAAAAATATCTTTAAACTGAGTCTGATTGAGCTACCCACATCTTTTGCAAAGAGTGAGACAATACTTGGAGTTATTACAAGGAGTAGAATGAACTTTTATTTTCATTCATCCTTCATTAATACCATACAATTAGCAATAGCTGGGAAAAAAATTCTTGAAACAATTTAAAACAGAAGGCACAGAAAACCAAACCCAACTATGCAGCTACAAGAAAAAGGGGAAAAAATATTCAGGAAGGGAATTAATTCAGAAAAGTTTTATCACTAGACATTGTGATCAAAAGCTACAGCACACAGAAACAAAACTGCACAGTTTAAGCTAACCCATGCTTTTGTTACATATACACATAATAGAAAAAAAAACGAGCTAAAAATCTGATTTTTGCAGGGTTTTTTGAATGAAAAGTGTAACCTTTAAAATAAAAAAAGTTAAATCTAGTACATGTGTCAAATCTTCCCTGAAGTCTACACTAAGATGTACTTTACAAAAAAAAAAAAGTCCACATTAAGAGCAAATTATACAGTTAAGTAGCATCTAGGGAGGAAAACTTGTTCTGAAATCAGTAAGAGTATCAAATAAGTTTGGTGTTTGCTTCAGAAACAAAGATTCTCAGTACAGTAATATACTGTAGAGGACATTCTTTTGTATTATAATATTATGAAATTAAATTGCTAGCATACATTACAAAGAGGAATAAAACCACTTCATTCATATGAGATTTTTATGATTTTTTTTTTGCAAAAGAGTAACTTTATTTATTTTGAAAACAAAGCTACTGGAATTAATGACATGCGATAATATGCCCCGATATTATACTATCTTGGTTTGAAAATAAAATACATGCTTCACAATTGAAATATGCTGTGATTCTCAAATACATTCTCTGGTAATTAATAATACAATACAGAGGTCATTCATAAAATCAGTTCAGGTAGAGAACCTGGTTTATAAATGAAGCTCTTTTTCAAATACGCAGGACAGTGACAATGCACAGGGTTTGCTCCAGGCCAGCACATTTTTTCCTGCGTTCCACCCCTCTTTTCTTAAACAAATGGGTGTTTAGCCTGCAAATATCATGGAAAGGCAAAGTCTAGCAGTTACAGGTTCATTTGTAAAAATACTAAATACAATCCAAGATAAATAGTATTACTTTTACTGACAACTTAAAAGCAAGTGCTCTCTAAAGGAAAAAGAAATTCTGAAATACAAGAGAGACTGTTTCAGCATTTGATATCAAGGCATTCGCACATTTGTCAGGAGGTGAGAGAAAAAGAGTGAACTTTACAGCTTACTTTGCAGTTGGACTTGAATTCAAAGAGCCTTCCCTTCCAGCCTGCCCACCTGTAAACCATAACGTATGGTTCCTTAACAGCTTGCTTTTTTCCCTGGAAATAATTCTCTCATTTAGAAAGTACAAGTCAAAGTATTGTTTTCACACATGAATAAAGAGAGCTGACAATTACAATAGAAATGGTAAAAATGATCTTCGTAAAAATGTTCATCAAAATTCTCTGACATAGCAAAACATTCATTTGTAAAGTCAAGTCTAATACTGCAAGCCATTCACTCAAAGGCGACCTCGGGCACGTTTATTCTTGCCAGCCTTGCAACAGTAATTACTTCCATATTTCTCACCATTATAGGATACAAACTCTGTAATATATTAAAGTTTCCTAACAAAGAGTCCAATTATTGCACTTTATAAAAATTCCAGCAATATCAGGCTTTTGTCCTACTTTTCTATGAACACTGATGCCCTGCAAGAAAAATTTGGGGACCAAGTAATTTCTCATGAGTAAGATGGATTTCTTGAATCAGTTTGAAATATTGAATCAAAAACGGAAAGGCTTACAAAATGAAGAGACGTACCTTTGGAAACGGTTTTGATTCATAGCAGCAGACAGACATGTCACTGCGGTACTGACACACATTCTCTTCGCAGGGAAGAACGGGCACATGGCTATTACGTTTATATATCACATAAAACTTGAGGACTATGCAGAGAAACCTGAAGAACCACTAAGTTCTTCTGCTGACTCTACAAGCCTGATGGGAAAAGTTCAATGACAGCCATATCAGTGTGGGAGTTTCTCTGTAAGCTCGTGTACATTTGCATTTGCGTCAGCAATGGATACAGCAAACAGAAATGGCTATTTCAGGATGGAAAGATACATAGAGTGAGTCTGAGAGACCCGTAAAAAAAAGAAAATACAGCAGCTTTGGCCCTGCTTATAACCAGCTGTATCAATAGGGAAAAAAAGATAGAAGAGGATTTTGTGCCAGCTATCTAGAAAAAGAAGCTGCTTGAACCAAAGGGATTCCCAAATCTATATGAGGCTTCCAGGCCAGCAAATCACGGTTAAAGTTACTTTGTTCCTCTGCTCCTTCAGCATGGGAACGAGTGCAGAATGGCTCATTCCAACCGTGGATAGTCCATTTACAGCAACAATCATGTCACCACACCTGAAAACACAAGCAGAAAAATAATGATGACTACTGCTCTGCAGTAACACACAAACAAGCAGCACTCCATCACTGGGGTGATACATTTGCATCAGGTTGGAAGTGTAGCTAAAGAACCCAAAGGGATGCAATTTTAAGTCTGTTTTACTGCTGAAACTCCTATCTGGGAAATCCTCAAATCACTACATTTCAATTCTAATACAAAGATAATTCTGCATTAAG